CTTTCAGGCCATGGATGATTGAATCCATGGATAAAATATCTGTGGAAATGAAAGGCCAACTGTATTACATTACATTACATGTATGAACCTGCCTGGAAGTGACAGGTTCTGCCTTGTTGCTTGCTATTAACAGTGTCTCTTGTGTCTAAAAAGAGGATCAGATGGTGTTTCAAGGCAAGGCTGCACCAGATGTCAAGTGCCAGAGAGAAAGATGGACTGTGTTTGGTAGAAATGTGAAGACCATGTTAGTGAGACCTGCGTTCCTCCTCCGAAGCTCTGCTCTGACAAAAGAAACTAGCTTGTGGGACTTTTCTTTGCACTGATGCTAACTGGGAGAGAATAACAATTTTTTTTTCAAAGCAGATGTTTCTTACTGGCAAGTTCTTGGATCCTTGAACAGATTGTAAGGGACAAAGGGGCTGTCAGAGATGCATGAAACAAAGCATGAAAAAGTGTCCATACTGGCTCAGGGATTCTGCTCATTGTAAACCAAAAAGGAACTTTCCCATTCTCTGTGAAAGGAGTGTTGTAGTAAACGTGGAGGTTTAGGAACTCATTATGTTAGTTCCCATAATACCCACAGTATGAAGGAAAATCCCCAAAATGCAGGCAACTGACAGTAAATTGTCAATACCATATTTCTGGAAGAACTTAACCACCCTGCCCCTGCCAAATTCCCAATGCAAATCACAACAAGTTGGAGACCTTTACTCAAAGAACGAAGCAGCCAAATTTTCAGTAATGACAATGTCTTCCTTTTTTTGTGTGTAATTATGGAAAGTTACAAATTAGCAGTAAAAGATGGATGGGATCCTGCATCAGAAATTACGACATGTAACTTTAAGATGACATAGTTGTGTGTCTGACTCAATATGCAACTCTTCAATCGAACTGCAAATACCTATTGAGGTGTCTTATGCAAATGCCCTGTTGCACATTTGTGTATCAGTGTGTCTTGTGCATTGTGCCACTGCACAAGATGGTGCTAGAGCCACACTGCTGTTGCCACTTGTGCTATGCATCTTTGCTGCCCTTCTGAGGATATGAATGTTACACAATGACACAATTCAACTTTATGTTATTGTGAATCAGTTTAGGGTGGCATAACTACCCAACTGGATACCAGCCAATGTTAACAAATCTGTTAATTGTTGAAGTCAAATCTTAAGTTTTGGAACCATAAATCCCACAAGACAAGACTTTCTGTATCAATTTCTATAATACAAAAACAACTGTCTCATGATAGCTGTTACTCTCTGACTTAATTTTGGGATGCAGGGCAAAAAGTAGTTCAAACATTTCAGTCATTGTGACTTAATTTTTTTAAAAAGTGAATGCTTGAAGTTGTGTGCTAGGTCATAATATTTCAGGTAAGTGGAT